TTGTTATGTAGCTTTGTTATGTAGCTTTGTTATGTAACTTTCTGTAGCTTTGTTATGTAGCTTTGTTATGTAGCTTTGTTATGTAACTTTTTGTAGCTTTGTTATGTAACTTTCTGTAGCTTTGTTATGTAGCTTTGTTATGTAGCTTTGTTATGTAGCTTTCTGTAGCTTTGTTATGTAGCTTTGTTATGTAGCTTTCTGTAGCTTTATGATGTAGCTTTGCTATGTAGCTTTGTTATGTAGCTTTCTGTAGCTTTGTTATGTAGCTTTATGTAACTTTCTGTAGCTTTGTTATGTAGCTTTGTTATGTAACTTTGTTATGTAGCTTTGTTATGTAGCTTTGTTATGTAAGTTTCTGTAGCTTTGTTATGTAGCTTCGTTATGTAACTTTCTGTAGCTTTGTTATGTAGCTTTGTTATGTAGCTTTGTTATGTAACGTTCTGTAGCTTTGTTATGTAGCTTTGTTATGTAGCTTTGTTATGTAACTTTCTGTAGCTTTGTTATGTAGCTTTGTTATGTAGCTTTGTTATGTAGCTTTGTTATGTAACTTTCTGTAGCTTTGTTATGTAGCTTTGTTATGTAGCTTTGTTATGTAACTTTCTGTAGCTTTGTTATGTCTCTTTGTTATGTAGCTTTGTTATGTAGCTTTGTTATGTAACGTTCTGTAGCTTTGTTATGTAGCTTTGTTTTGTAGCTTTATGTAACTTTCTGTAGCTTTGTTATGTAACTTTCTGTAGCTTTGTTATGTAGCTTTCTGTAGGTTTATTATGTAGCTTTCTGTAGGTTTATTATGTAGCTTTCTGTAGGTTTATTATGTAGCTTTCTGTAGGTTAATTATGTAGCTTTCTGTAGGTTTATTATGTAGCTTTCTGTAGGTTTATTATGTAGCTTTCTGTAGGGTCCTAAGAAGCAAGATCACCACCCATCTAGAAACCCATCAGTTACACAACCCAGGGCAACATGGGTTTAGAACAGGTCGCTCCTGTCTGTCTCAACTATTGGATCACTACGACAAGGTCCTAAATGCACTAGAAGACAAAAAGAATGCAGATGTAATATATACAGACTTTGCAAAAGCCTTCGACAAGTGTGACCATGGCGTAATAGCGCACAAAATGCGTGCTAAAGGAATAACAGGAAAAGTTGGTAGATGGATCTATAATTTCCTCACTAACAGAACACAGAGAGTAGTCGTCAACAGAGTAAAGTCCGAGGCAGCTACGGTGAAAAGCTCTGTTCCACAAGGCACGGTACTAGCTCCCATCTTGTTCCTCATCCTCATATCCGACATAGACAAGGATGTCAGCCACAGCACCGTGTCTTCCTTTGCAGATGACACCCGAATCTGCATGACAGTGTCTTCCATTGCAGACACTGCAAGGCTCCAGGCGGACATCAACCAAATCTTTCAGTGGGCTGCAGAAAACAATATGAAGTTCAACGATGAGAAATTTCAATTACTCAGATATGGTAAACATGAGGAAATTAAATCTTCATCAGAGTACAAACAAATTCTGGCCACAAAATAGAGCGAAACACCAACGTCAAAGACCTGGGAGTGATCATGTCGGAGGATCTCACCTTCAAGGACCATAACATTGTATCAATCGCATCTGCTAGAAAAATGACAGGATGGATAATGAGAACCTTCAAAACTAGGGAGGCCAAGCCCATGATGACACTCTTCAGGTCACTTGTTCTATCTAGGCTGGAATATTGGTGCACACTAACAGCACCTTTCAAGGCAGGTGAAATTGCTGACCTAGAAAATGTACAGAGAACCTTCACGGCGCGCATAACGGAGATAAAACACCTCAATTACTGTGAGCGCTTGAGGTTCCTAAACCTGTATTCCCTGGAACGCAGGAGGGAGAGATACATGATTATATACACCTGGAAAATCCTAGAGGGACTAGTACCGAACTTGCACACGAAAATCACTCACTACGAAAGCAAAAGACTTGGCAGACGATGCACCATCCCCCCAATGAAAAGCAGGGGTGTCACTAGCACGTTAAGAGACCATACAATAAGTGTCAGGGGCCCGAGACTGTTCAACTGCCTCCCAGCACACATAAGGGGGATTACCAACAGACCCCTGGCAGTCTTCAAGCTGGCACTGGACAAGCACCTAAAGTCGGTTCCTGACCAGCCGGGCTGTGGCTCGTAAGTTGGTTTGCATGCAGCCAGCAGCAACAGCCTGGTTGATCAGGCTCTGATCCACCAGGAGGCCTGGTCACAGACCGGGCCGCGGTGGCGTTGACCCCTGGAACTCTCTCCAGGTAAACTCCAGCTTTGTTATGTAACTTTCTGTAGCTTTGTTATGTAGCTTTGTTATGTAACTTTCTGTAGCTTTGTTATGTAACTTTCTGTAGCTTTGTTATGTAACTTTCTGTAGCTTTGTTATGTAGCTTTGTTATGTAACTTTTTGTAGCTTTGTTATGTAGCTTTGTTATGTAACTTTCTGTAGCTTTGTTATGTAGCTTTGTTATGTAACTTTCTGTAGCTTTGTTATGTAGCTTTGTTATGTAACTTTCTGTAGGTTTATTATGTAGCTTTCTGTAGGTTTATTATGTAGCTTTCTGTAGGTTTATTATGTAGCTTTCTGTAGGTTTATTATGTAGCTTTCTGTAGGGTTATAATGTAGCTTTCTGAAGGTTTATTATGTAGCTTTCTGTAGGTTTATTATGTAGCTTTCTGTAGGTTTATTATGTAGCTTTCTGTAGGTTTATTATGTAGCTTTCTGTAGGGTTATAATGTAGCTTTCTGAAGGTTTATTATGTAGCTTTCTGTAGGTTTATTATGTAGCTTTCTGTAGGTTTATTATGTAGCTTTCTGTAGGTTTATTATGTAGCTTTCTGTAGGTTTATTATGTAGCTTTCTGTAGGTTTATTATGTAGCTTTCTGTAGGTTTATTATGTAGCTTTCTGTAGGTTTATTATGTAGCTTTCTGTAGGTTTATTATGTAGCTTTCTGTAGGTTTATTATGTAGCTTTCTGTAGGTTTATTATGTAGCTTTCTGTAGGTTTATTATGTAGCTTTCTGTACCTTCATTATGGCGTTTTCTGTGACTTCATTAGGTACCTTTCTGTACCTTCATTAGGTACCTTTCTATAGTTTCATTATATTCCTTTCTCTGTCTTCATTCATTAGGTACCTTTCTGTTGCTTCATTAGGAGGGTATTATCCAGGTGTTTGTTATATCAGGATGTTAATATTATAGCAAAAAAAGGTACTTAGGTACCCTATTGTATCCAGTACCTAATTACTTATAATACTAAGAATATACGAAGTTCAGTGTATCCAGTGAATTTAGTAATTATATCAAGGTATACCTGGAGTATACCTGGAGTATACCTGGAGTATACCTGGAGTATACCTGATGGGTGTTCCGGGGGACAAGGGCCCCCGTGGCCCGGTCTATGACCAGGCCTGATGGTGGATCAGGACCTGTGTATCTGTCCAGCTCCCTCTTACCTGGAGTTTACCTGGAGAGAGGTCCGGGAGTCAATGCCCCCGCGGCCTGGTCTGTGACCAGGCCTCCTGGTAGATCAGAGCCTGATCAACCAGGCTGTTACTGCTTTCTGCACGCAAACCAACGTACGAGCCTGAGCCCGGCTTGTCAGGAACCGACTTTAGGTGCTTGTCCAGTGCCAGCTTGAAGACTGCCAGGGGTCTTGAAGACAACCAGGGGTCTTGAAGACAACTAGGGGTCTTGAAGACAACCAGGGGTCTTGAAGACAACCAGGGGTCTTGAAGACAACCAGAGGTTTAGAAGACAACCAGGGGTCTTGAAGACAACCAGGGGTCTTGAAGACAACCAGGGGTCTTGAAGACAACCAGGGGTCTTGAAGACAGCCAGGGGTCTTGAAGACCACCCAGCTGGTCAGGTACTAACTATATGTCTGTCCAGCCAGTATAATACAGACAGCTAGTACTGTACAGGCATAACTCACGTTTCTGTGCTTTTCTATACAGCGCTTCACTGATACGGCGCTTTTCACCTGTATTCGTGTTCATTATTTTTGGTTCTTCCCTTGCTCTTACAATGGTTTTTGGCAGCAATGTTTTTTTTTTTGCATAGTTTTTTTAGGCCTAACAGTATTATGCATTTAATAAATGATAGTGTAAACATGTGTTTAGGCTTTTATATTCACCCTTGATGCTGCTGACATAGTAATACAGTAGTGTAGTATCAGTAGCCTTGATGGTACTTAGTAATACAACAGTGTACTATCAGTAGCCTTGATGGTACTTAGTAATACAACAGTGTACTATCAGTAGCCTTGATGGTACTTAATAATACAACAGTGTACTATCAGTAGCCTTGATGGTACTTAGTAATACAACAGTGTACTATCAGTAGCCTTGATGGTACTTAGTAATACAACAGTGTACTATCAGTAGCCTTGATGGTACTTAGTAATACAACAGTGTACTATCAGTAGCCTTGATGGTACTTAGTAATACAACAGTGTACTATCAGTACCCTTGATGGTACTTAGTAATACAACAGTGTACTATCAGTAGCCTTGATGGTACTTAGTAATACAACAGTGTACTATCAGTAGCCTTGATGATACTTAGTAATACAACAGTGTACTATCAGTAGCCTTGATGGTACTTAGTAATACAACAGTGTACTATCAGTAGCCTTGATGGTACTTAGTAATACAACAGTGTACTATCAGTAGCCTTGATGGTACTTAGTAATACAACAGTGTACTATCAGTAGCCTTGATGGTACTTAGTAATACAACAGTGTACTATCAGTAGCCTTGATGGTACTTACTAATACAACAGTGTACTATCAGTAGCCTTGATGGTACTTATTAATACAACAGTGTACTATCAGTAGCCTTGATGGTACTTAGTATACAGCAGCAGCAATTACAGTAGTGTACTATTAGTAGCCTTGATACTACTGAGGTAGTTGTTACAGTAGTGTACTATCAGTACCATTTCTATCTATCAGTAAATAGGATAATCCAAAAATAAAATAGATTTCTTATAAATATTTATTTGCTAGTTTAGTGTAGTACCAGAAAGTGGTTATTACTAAGAACTTCCCCAGTGCGCTGATAGACTGTGTGAAATTAAAGAGAACTAGAACTAGGGCCATCACTATGTACTCACAGACGAGCCAACTGTACACTTACACATCCTGAGTGACCTCATGAGTATTGAGCTCACTGAACAGTATTACAGGTGGGCCCAGCATATACAGCAGGACCCCACATGTACAGCAGGGCCCTGCATATACACCAGGGTCCTTCATATACACCAGGGTCCTTCATATACAGCAGGGCCCCACATATACAGCAGGGCCCCACATGTACATCAGGGCCCCACATGTATATCAGGGCCCCATATGTACAGCAGGGCCCCATATGTACAGCAGGGCCCTGCATATACAACAGGGCCCCACATATGCAGCAGGGCTCCACATATATAGCAGGGCCCCACATATACAGCAGGGCCCCACATATACAGCAGGGCCCCACATATACAGCAGGGCCCTGCATACACAGCACCTTCTTTTTCAGTGTTCCACATTTTTCATTATGTTCCACCTGACACCAATTGTCACATGTGGCTGGAACAATAGCTCAGTTGACAGTCAGAGAAAATGTGGAACACCGAAAAGAAGGTACCATATATGCAGGGCCCTGCTGTATATGTGGGTGCCTGATGTATATGTGGGGCCTTGCTGTATATGTGGGGCCCTGCTGCATATGAGGGGGCCTGATGTATATGTGGGGCCTTGCTGTATATGTGGGGGCCCTGCTGCATATGTGGGGGCCTTGATGTGTTATCATTTACATAAAAGCACTAACATCATTCGGCAGTGCTTGCAAACATTATTGCTTGTATATTTTTGTGTTATACCTGCAAGAATGGCAGTATATTACAGATATCCCTCGTTTTATATTGCAAATGTGTTTTATGTTGTAAATGTGCCTCAGAATCTTGGTAGATACATTAAGCTCAGTCAGTCCGTAAAAACCTAATTACACATAGTAAGAATATTCATTGTTTTATGAACCTCATTAATCACAGTAACTGTGTTTCATTTACATAATTAAGCCTTCATCTGACTTACCAGTACTCATCTCTGTTGCTGATTAGTGATCGTTTTTTCATCAAATTCAACACGACATAGAATTGTCAGTTTTTATCAGATTTTCCTCATTTTGGTCTTATTTGGTTCAGAAAGGCAAACTTTTCTCAAACTATAAGAAAAAACAGTTTTTTATTTTTTAAAATCTTCTCATAGTTAAAGCATTAACAATAAAAACAGGACAGCACATAATAGTGAACAAACATAAAACGAGGGAGAATCTGTAATGGTGAACCAACAATTTGCCAATATTCATTAACCATTAACATTGTAAACTTCATTCTGGTGTCTTTATCAACACTTGCTGGGTTGGACTTAAATTAAGTCATAATAAACAACTGTTGGCGAACAAACAGAAGAGCGGACAAGAGGCTCGAACTGTGGCCTGTAAATTGACAGTTACAGTTGGTGTCTCTGACAGAATAAAATACAGTATTAATTCTGATTCCTCTCTATTAGAGTCCCGGGCAGCCGGGACGGCAAGTCACCGGAGTATCAGCTTCCAGACTGTGGTTTGTGCCTCTCGTCCGTCCTTCTCTTCACAGTTAGTCTTCAGCTTACAAACATGTTGGGGACCTCCTGTAATGTGTATAATAATGATATTATACACAATAATGATATAACAATGATATTATACATTATACAGAAGATTCTCAATGGATTTGTAAGTCAAGGTCTTACTGTTTACATTTGCTAGGATGTTAAGGCAGACATTACTGTGTTTCTCATAGCTAAATAGGAAGCTCTATGCAGTGCATAACTTCTATGTGCGTATATCATCAACAACAATGGTAGTCGGCACTGTCAACACATTAAACTTGCAGAACTGTGACAATATACACAAACATTTCAAATTACAGTAACCAGCTTTCATTAATATTTTAAACGAGTACATATATATATATATATATATATATATATATATATATATATATATATATATATATATATATATATATATATATATATATATATATATATATATATATATATATATATATATATCAACACAGACAATACTACAGCTACATAGTAGCTATGTAATAAAATAATATATCCAAGAAGCTGCATATAATAAATGAATATATCAAAAAACTGCATAGATTATTACTCTGAGAAATTTGACATTTTTCAACGAGAATAAAAAAAAAAATTTATTGTAAATTTCTAAGTTTTCCAGATTGAATTTTAATTTGAGAAAGTTGTATAATATGCATTTTCTTACATAACAGTGTGATGACTGATACTGTTCACACTAGACTGGAAACTGGTTTTTGTGGACAGTCGACAAAAATACACGAGCATCAATATTTTGACTGCCACATTATTAACCTAGACCAGGACTTCTTAACCTTTTTACGATAACCGACCCCAGTGGATTACCCAATACAGCAGGGCCTCGTGTATACAGCAGGACCTTGTATATACAGCAGGGCCTCGTGTATACAGCAGGGCCTCGTGTATACAGCAGGGCCCTGTATATACAACAGGGCCCTGCATATACAACAGGAGCCCTGCATACACAACAGGGGCCCCCACATATATAACAGGGGCCCCTGCATATACAACAGGGCCCCACATGTTATATGTGGGGCCCTGCTGTATATGAAGGACCCTCCTGAATGTGCCCATACCTCCTTCACCAGACTGTGGGAATCATATGGAAAAAGACATGTACAGTTCAGGACATTTATTAAAGGAAACATTTTAGCACGTGTGTCTTCAGTGTTGAGATGCCATTCTTGGTGAAACTTTATAATAAATGTCATAAGTAAGTAAATTTACTTACATGATTCATTACCTTTGTAACTTGTTCAGCTATCTTTACTTTGGGGCCCAGTCCCTGGACTCATTGTATACCTCTAATCTGTAAATACCTTAGTAACCTGACATGATTGTGACCAGATCTGCCTGGAGTTCACTACCTTTGTAACTTGCTCAGCTATCAAAACTATGGGGTCCAGTCAATGGACCCATTATGTACCTCTGTCATGTTGAGGTACAGTCCCTGGACCCATTATATACCTCTAATCTGTAAATACCTTTGTAACCTGTCATGATTGTGACCAGATCCACCTGGAGTTCATTACCTTTGTAACTGACTCAGCTATCAAAACTTTGGGGCCCAGTCCCTGGACCCATTATGTACCTCTGTAATCTTATGACTAGCGCCCACAGGATGGGTATGGGGTATATAATAAACATATTAAACTAACTAATTAATAAATGTGCTGAACTCTACGTAAATGGCTTTTTCCACGTCTTGTTGGTATCACCATACCATTGTTCTGTAGAAATATTCAAGGACCCCAATGGAAATAAGTCGCTGTCAGACTTTTTTGGGTTATCTGGGTTCTCTACATATATGCTGCTATGTATGATAATCTATGTAATTTTATTTATGTATACCTGAATAAACTTACTAATTAGGTACCAATTTGACTTCAAAAGATGTCAGTATCCTGGTTCATCAGCAGTGCTATTAGGTACCAGAATGACTTCAAAAGATGTCAATATTTAGGTTTTACTTTACATATGGACAACTATTAACACAATAGCTGATAGCTTATTCTGATCTAACAACTATTTTTGAAGTTTTTCAGAAATTGAGTCCAATACCCCCATTATTTGCTTCTGATACCCCCATTATTTTCTCCCAATACCCCCATTATTTGCTCCTGATATCCCTATTATTTGCTCCCAATACCCCCCTTATTTGCTCCCCATACCCCCAAGGGGTATAGATGCCCCCAGTTAAGAAACTCCTGGCCTAGGCAATCAGGTGCATGGGTTATCAGTGAGGTCACTCAGGAGAGTTCCAGCACACAGACATGTACTTCCTGGTGTTTTCAACTTACAATCAGGATCTGAATGGCAGCAAACAATAATGTGTAAAAAGCTCTTCGATAAACAGACTTTTAGTGGTACAGTTGTTCAATTTATTTAAAGCTTTATTAACCTGTAAACGGTCTAAACGTATATATACGTTTTTTCAACATTTAAAAGTATGTAAAAAAAAGTAGATCTTCTTTTTGTTTTTTTTACATTTGAAAATGTGTAAAAAAAACTTTGATCTACTTTCTTTTTTTTGTTATATTTGAAGATATGTAAAAAAAAAAACTTAGATCTACTTTTGTAGCAGTACACATGTGAACGTAGATCTGCTTGGACCGTTTACGGGTTAAGTCATGACTTAATAAAGATCTATGGAAGAAATTACAATAAAATGCATGATTGCAAATATGTGAAAATACCACAGTGAAAATAGTTAATGAAACCTGAGTGCTGTCGTATGTTCACACACGTGTTCTCACACACATGTGTTAGCACATGAAAACACTCCTACTTTCACTGTGGTATTTTCAGATATACAGATCAAAACAATGTATCAGTAAAGGCTTATTCTGAAATGTGCACTTTTTATTTAATACAAATGAACTTTATTATGGAAAACAGAGTACAAAAACATGGTTTTATGTTACATATTTTTGTGCAGCATGTCAAAACTTGTACAAAACTGTTTAATTTGCAAAAATGCCCTTTTTGTAAGTGAGGATCTTCATAAGTTGTCATTTGTATGTTCGAAAATTTCCATTAACATTACTCCAACAAGCATAGGTCTCTAGTGTATGACTGGCCGTCAGGTCGCTCACGCTACATCGGTTCCACCATAAAAGGCTAAGTCTGGCCATTTTTAACATACATGTTAAGTTTACACAATGAAGGGAGAACCGTGCACTATACACAGACCTATGAACACAATCCATGCAAATTACCTTTTATGCAGCATAGGGAAAAAAGTGACTATGTGAAACTTAATAGTATATATAAACGATATTTTTTAAAACCATATTTTTTTGCAGTACACCTACCATCCGACTTACGACCGAGTTCGGTTCCGAGAGACCAGTCGTAAGTCGAAATGGTCGTAAGTCGAACTTTACTACTGAATATAAACAAAACATTTTTGTAATGACTATTTTATTGTTTTATTTTGGTATTTCATGTTTTACTTTACTTTTTATGTTGTTAGTACTGTATTTTATACTGTAAGGTTTAGGATAAACACTGTGTACAACACAAATAGTTGTTTATTTCCCAGAAATTTGGCATAAAAAACACGGTTGTAAGTCGAGTGGTCGTAAGTCAAGCAGGTCGTAAGTCGGATGGTAGGCGTAATTGTATGCAATTAGTGTTGAAGGGGTAGAAATGTAAGAGACATCTGCACCTGGAGTATTCTATATGCTCAGACACACTAAGGCTACAATGGTGATTTGATGTTCAAATATATATGTGTCGTTTTATAATATTAAATAACGAGCCTTAATCACAAAGCGTGCTGATACCTGGCGTATACCTGGTGGGTGTTCTGGAGGTCAAGGCCCCCCATGGCCCAGTCCATGACCAGGCCTGGTGGTGGATCAGGACCTGATCAACCAGGGTGTTACTGCTGGCTGCACATAAACCAACATACGAAGCACAGTCTGGTTAATCAGGTACTGACATTAGGTGCTCAGGATTTAGTATTGTGATGGTGTCACATGATCAAGGCAGCAGTTGTAAAACCCACAAAAACTCAATGGAGCTCTTGTAACATTGTATACAACAATGTATAAACATTTTCCAAGGTACCACTACAAGGCTTGGTGGACCATTGCAACACCATCTGACATATTTTTCCATAGTAATACATGAAATAATCGCAAACAAGCGACACAAGATGCAAAACAACCACAGATGTTGAATGATAGCTCTAGGCCTTTTGTGTTGCAATCAACACATCATCAGGAGCTTGCAATGTTGCAGAAATAAGTAGGAAGTCCCAGTGGATCTGTTCAAGGGAACAATGCTAGCTTATTCACACTAGAATCGTTCTACTGAATGAAACTGTCTGGACTTGCTACTCATCTCTGCAACACTGCAAGCTCCTGATGATGTGATGTGTTGATTGCAACACAAAAGGCCTAGAGCTATCATTCAACATCTGTGGTTGTTTTGCATAGTAATACATATATATATAGTAATTGACTAGGACACTTATAGTAGAACTTTGATTATTGAAACTAACGTAGCCGAAAAAATAATAACTTATGTAAACTTTATTACCTTTAATCTTCATTAAAATAAACCATGGAATGGGAGGGGTTAGAACCCATGGTTCGTGAATCATAAAACTCCAGGTTCAAAATGGGAGGGGTTAGAACCCATGGTTCATGAATCATAAAACTCCAGGTTCAAAACCCCACTGTTCCATGGTTTGTTTACTGTTGTCTTATTAAAATTTTGTTGGTCACTTTAATCTTCATTATTTTTAGCTATTTTTATATTAATTGTGAAGTGCTAAACCTGTAAGTCATACAGTGCCAGGGGTATGGCAGGTAACTATGTTTGATCCAAGGATGGGGAGGATGGTTCCAATCTCTCAGAACAAATGCTCTTCATGGAGATCAAGACATTCTCCTTCACCTATACACCAATTACCATAAAGTACAATAATATACACTAAAAGCACTACCCCATGACTACACAGAAGGGTGGACAAGGCTTGAACCATGGTCGGTAAATTGAGAGCCCTCCTCTCAATCGTTCCAACATATACTTACTAATATGTTGGTTATAATGATGACCGATAAGCCAATGGAAGGCCTCAGTCAGATTACCAAAAGCTCCAACAGTGGGTCATCATCTAAGACCTGCGTCAGGAAACACTTATCCTGTTTCTTGACAAGCCTTACTTAACCTAACTGTTCTGGCTGGACGGGACTAATAGGAAAGAATCTGAGCTAATAGCCTACAGTAAGTCCTTGACTTGCAAACATGTTGAGACTCTTCTGTATATACAGTGGACCCCCCCATAACGATCACCTCCGAATGTGACCAATTATGTAATTGTATTTATGTAAGTGCGTTTGTACGTGTATGTTTGGGGGTCTGAAATGGACTAATCTACTTCACAATATTCCTTATGGGAACAAATTCGGTCAGTACTGGCACCTGAACATACTTCTGGAGTGAAAAAATATCGTTAACCGGGGGTCCACTGTAATATCATTATTACTGTATATAATATCATTATTATACATAATTCAGGTCCCGAGTGTGTTCGTAAGTCAAGGACTTACTGCATTATATTCCACCAGAGCCACCAACTGTAACTGTCCACATAACTCACGAAATTGTAATGACACGATTGCAAATAAACCATACCACGGGCGGGGTTAGAACCTGCAAATCAGAAATCTGAGACTCTCTCTGATCACAGGTTCTAACCCCGCCCACGGTATGGTGTGTAACTGTCAATTTACAGACCACAGTTCAAGCCTCTCGTCCACTCTTCTGTTTCTTCATCGACAATTATTACAACTTAATCCAAATTCTCACTACCCTATAATATTATATGATATATGTTATATGTTATTATATGTTATATGTTATTCTAGTTCAGTGATTCAGAATTATCAACGTACAAAAAAGAAGGACGGTGTTAATGTTGCAGTTTAAAAACTGTAGTGTAAAGCACCCTTCTGGCAAGACAGTGATGGAGTGAATGATGGTGAAAGTTTTTCTTTTTCGGGCCACCCTGCCTTGGTGGGCCACCCTGCCTTGGTGGGCCACCCTGCCTTGGTGGCCACCCTGCCTTGGTGGGCCACCCTGCCTTGGTGGGCCACCCTGCCTTGGTGGCCACCCTGCCTTGGTGGGAATTGGCCAGTGTGATAATAAAAAAAAAAAAAAAAACAAGTGTTCCAAAATATTTAAAAAATATAGAAATATTTTATTGTCTTTTTTGACGATTCAGCAAAATTTAAAGATTTTTCTGACAAACCTCAATTTTGAGCTAAAATATGTATATATTTTACTTGAAGAAATATTTTATGGAATGAAATATAGTGTCCATAATGAATAAATTGTTATCTATAATGAATTCCAGTCATGAAAAAATCTATGATGTGTTGTAGTACTTTCATTGTTATGATGTTTGACACTATATAGAGCTTGTCATTACAATATGATAAAGCTCTATGTAGATCTTGCCATCAATACATAACCCAATAAAGCTCTATAAGGCAGAACTTTCCCCCACTTAAATTTTATTCATCATTATAAACCAAATATAGTTTTACATATATTTTTTATGCTTTTTTATTCTGTTCAGTAACTTCAAATTCACTTTATTATTATTATTATAATTATTATTATTATTATTATTATTATTATTATTATTATTATATGTTACTCTTTGCATCTGTTCAGATTTTTTTTTTTTTCACAGATTAATGGTGAGTGATTTTGTCTTCATCTCCATCTTTGTTTCATGTCTAAAGTAATTGCTGCCGCACCATCGTAAAGCTGAAATGTCGTAAGTCAAATCATCGTACGTCAAGGACCACCTGTAATGAGGTTTGATTCGAGAAAAAAAGAGAATATGTCCAATTCTTTGAGGCAAAGAGCCTTCGTGGTCATCAGTCTAACCAATTCTGAAGGTCGGGTATTTGGAACAATAATCCTGAATGTGAAAAATGCTGTTGGAGTGTGAGCAAAGTAACATGAAGGGATTCAAGGAAACTGGTTAGCCAGACTTGAGTCCTGGAGGTGGGAAGTACAGTGTCTGCACTCTGAAGGTGGGAAGTACAGTGCCTGCACTCTGAAGGTGGGAAGTACAGTGCCTGCACTCTGAAGGTGGGAAGTACAGTGTCTGCACTCTGAAGGTGGGAAGTACAGTGTCTGCACTCTGAAGGTGGGAAGTACAGTGCCTGCACTCTGAAGGTGGGAAGTAGTGTCTGCACTCTGAAGGTGGGAAGTACAGTGCCTGCACTCTGAAGGTGGGAAGTACAGTGCCTGCACTCTGAAGGTGGGAAGTACAGTGCCTGCACTCTGAAGGTGGGAAGTACAGTGTCTGCACTCTGAAGGTGGGAAGTACAGTGCCTGCACTCTGAAGGTGGGAAGTACAGTGCCTGCACTCTGAAGGTGGGAAGTAGTGTCTGCACTCTTTAGGTGGGAAGTACAGTGCCTGTACTCTGAAGGTGGGAAGTACAGTGCCTGCACTCTGAAGGTGGGAAGTACAGTGTCTGCACTCTGAAGGTGGGAAGTACAGTGCCTGCACTCTGAAGGTGGGAAGTAGTGTCTGCACTCTGAAGGTGGGAAGTACAGTGTCTGCACTCTGAAGGTGGGAAGTACAGTGCCTGCACTCTTTAGGTGGGAAGTACAGTGCCTGTACTCTGAAGGTGGGAAGTACAGTGCCTGCACTCTGAAGGTGGGAAGTACAGTGCCTGTACTCTGAAGGTGGGAAGTACAGTGCCTGTACTCTGAAGGTGGGAAGTACAGTGCCTGTACTCTGAAGGTGGGAAGTACAGTGCCTGTACTCTGAAGGTGGGAAGTACAGTGCCTGTACTCTGAAGGAGGGAAGTACAGTGCCTGTACTCTGAAGGAGGAAAGTACAGTGCCTGTACTCTGAAGGAGGAAAGTACAGTGCCTGTACTCTGAAGGAGGGAAGTACAGTGCCTGTACTCTGAAGGTGGGAAGTACAGTGCCTGTACTCTGAAGGTGGGAAGTACAGTGCCTGTACTCTGAAGGTGGGAAGTACAGTGCCTGTACTCTGAAGGAGGGAAGTACAGTGCCTGTACTCTGAAGGAGGGAAGTACAGTGCCTGTACTCTGAAGGAGGGAAGTACAGTGCCTGTACTCTGAAGGAGGGAAGTACAGTGCCTGTACTCTGAAGGAGGGAAGTACAGTGCCTGTACTCTGAAGGAGGGAAGTACAGTGCCTGTACTCTGAAGGTGGGAAGTACAGTGCCTGTACTCTGAAGGTGGGAAGTACAGTGCCTGTACTCTGAAGGTGGGAAGTACAGTGCCTGTACTCTGAAGGAGGGAAGTACAGTGCCTGTACTCTGAAGGTGGGAAGTACAGTGCCTGTACTCTGAAGGAGGGAAGTACAGTGCCTGTACTCTGAAGGAGGGAAGTACAGTGCCTGTACTCTGAAGGAGGGAAGTACAGTGCCTGTACTCTGAAGGAGGGAAGTACAGTGCCTGTACTCTGAAGGAGGGAAGTACAGTGCCTGTACTCTGAAGGAGGGAAATACAGTGCCTGTACTCTGAAGGAGGGAAGTACAGTGCCTGTACTCTGAAGGTGGGAAGTACAGTGCCTGTACTCTGAAGGTGGGAAGTACAGTGCCTGTACTCTGAAGGAGGGAAGTACAGTGCCTGTACTCTGAAGGAGGGAAGTACAGTGCCTGTACTCTGAAGGAGGGGTTGAGATATGTTACAGTTTTATAACTAACTATAGGCATGCCTCTGGCAAGACAGTGATGGCTTGAGTGATGGTGACAGTGTTTCTTCTTTTTCAGATCACACTGCCTTGGTGGGAAACAGCCAGTGTGTTAAAAAAAAAATAAAAAACTGAGGTACAGTAACCAAAGCAGAGGAAGAATGGCAAACAGTGGTGGATGTGTTAAGAGAGTAACAACACTGGAATGATGACCCACTTCACATGACTGACTGTTTACAAACTGCTTCATGGGGCACAGAGCTATAGACCTACACTAAACACCAAGATATGTGTATTCCACTCCATAGGGAAGTAGACAAGAATCTTTCTTCCATAAATGATGCGTGTCGTAAGAGGCGACTAAAATGCCGAGAGCAAGGGGCGAGTAACACCTTCTGTATAAATTATTAAATGTAACAAGAAGAAAAACTTTATAAGTTTTTTTTAGTCGTTCTGCTTTAGGTTTAATCTGCCCAAAATACCCGGGCATGATAGTGACTGTCTTTATACTTAACAAATCAAAATTTTAATTACACATTGTAAACATTGCAAAAAAAATAAATAAATCTTTAAATCTTTGGTGGAAGAGAGCCAGTACGTCAAAAAAAAAAAAGTGTATTTCGTAGTGTATGTTCAGCTTGTTTTAACCCTTGTTTTATAATAATAAGGTTTAGCACTTGCTAAACCTGCATGGTTTAACTGTATAACAGGTGTGATGATAGTAGAAGTATACAGCACCAGTATGAGTCTGCCAGATATATACACCATGTTAGTGGCTTTTTTTATGCTTAACAATATTTTATTATGTGTAAAATACATTACTGTATACTGCAGAAAGAAATTTTGTTTGTTCAGTGGTTACACAACCCACTAGCTTATCCCAGGCAAACCATGAAACAGGTGGGATATGAGCCTATGGCGACTGAGTGCTAGAATTCCAGGCTGTTCCAAGGATTGTTTACATATATAATGTCTTATTAACAAACACCAACACATCTCTACTAAAGGTGGAACATCTTCCACAAGACCTGTGGATATAGGCATCCCACAGGGAAATGTCTCTGACCCTCTTCTTTTCCACTGATAATCAACGATCTTCCAAATGCATCACAGCGGCTTAGTGTTCTCTTTACCAACAAAACAATTTGCCATCTCCCACCCTAATCTCTCTTTGTTATGACTTCATCTATCCCAGGCAGCTCCCACACCCGTCAACCAAAGGATCACTAACCATACCACCTTCCTATGGTGTAGAAATATACCTAGTTGGACGAATCTTATTGTGGCTAGCTGGTCCAGTGGCTAACGTGACGGTCTGGAGTTTTTAGACTCTCTGACCGCGGGTTCAATCCCGCTGGTGGTATGGTTTGTTTGCAATTGTGTCATTACGATTTCGTGAGTCAAAGGATCACTACATAGTGAATCCTAAAAGATACTGATATCCTTACAAGGCTTCTTTCTATCAACAAACTTTAGCGCTTCTTTTTGATTATAATAATAATAATAATATCAATAAACTAGTCATATCCCACCAAGGCAAGGTGTCATAAAAAGAAAAAAGTTTCTCTTTTTAACTTTAGTAATACAGTGGATCCCCGCCTTATGATCACCTCCCAACTCGACCAGTTATGTAAGTGTATTTTTGTAAGTGCTTTTGTACATGTATTTTTGGGGGTCTGAAACAGACAAATCTAATTCACAATATTCCTTATGGGAACAAATTTGGTCAGTAACGGCACCCGAACAGACTTCTGGAATGAAATAATATTGTAAGGAGGGGTCCACTGTATATACAGGAGAAGGGGTTACTAGCCCCTTATTCCCGGCATTTTAGTCGCCTCTTACAACACGCATGGCGTACGGAGGAAGAATTCTGTTCCACTTCCCCATGGAGATAAGAGGAAATAAACAAGAACAAGAACTAGTAAGAAAACAGAAGAAAACCCAGAGAGGTGCGTATATATGTTTGTACATGTATGTGTAGTGTGACCTAAGTGTAAGTAGAAGTAGCAAGACGTACCTGATATCTTGCATGTTTATAAGACAGACAAAAGACACCAACAATCCTACCATCATGTAAAACAATTAGACTTACAAATAACCTAAAAAAAAAAATATAAAACATCCAATATTTTTGAAGTATATAATTGTTCCAATAATCAAGGTTCCACTGTACCATAAAACAAGATATTTCTTACATATATAAACCTTAACATTTTTATAACAATATATATTATACTTTAATCTTCATAAATCATTTAATTATTTATAAAATATATGCATGTATATTATGCAAGTTTTTAAATACACATATACATTCATTTATATATACAGTATGTATGTATGCGTGTGTATAGATTTATTTTCACATATGTGTAACATAATGACACATTTATAGTTAAAAGACCAGAGCCACGATATTGTCTCCTAGTCTTCAGTGTCGGGTTCGGTAGAACTATTTCTAGTTTGCAATGATTGTAATCTACAATTATCCTAGGATCCCATTCTTACAGTGGTTGTAGTCTATATGTACTCTAGGATACCATTCTTACAGTGGTTGTAGTCTATATGTACTCTAGGATACCATTCTTACAGTGGTTGTAGTCTATATGTACTCTAGGATCCCATTCCTACAATGATTGTAGCTGATATATACACTAGAATCCTATTCCTACAGTGGCTGTAGCACATATTTACTCTAGAATTCTATTCCTACGGTGACTGGAGCACATATTTACTCTGGGAGCCTATGACTACAGTGGCCATAGAACATATTTACTCTTACGCTTATCTTCTTATAGATTCTATTACATTAGTCTGCACTTATTTGTAGTCCGCTACTATTTGTAAAGAAATAGTCTTTTGTTTTTTCGATTCTGTTGGCCTCACAGTTGACGGCTGTGGCATTTTGTTCACCCTACAGATATTATTTTGTTCACCCTACAGATATTATTTTGTTCACCCTACAGATATTATTTTGTTCACCCTACAGATATTATGCAAAATCTTTCCCATTTTCTCAAATTCTTTAATGACCTTTTATTTTGCTGTCACATAAATAAATAACAAAAAGGCACAATACCGTGACTGGAACGATACACAAATAACCCGTGGGTTATTTGTGTACTGTCACATAAATATTGTTTTCACATCGATTAATATGGGTATTTTTGTGATTCGCATTTCTTAACTCTTAGGGTAAGATTGTGAATGTTGTGTGTGTGTTGCAGTCACTGGGCGGAGATTGAGTCGCCTTCACTCAACGTGTTGAATGATCCATATGGCATTAGTGCATATTTTAATAATAATAATAATAACTGTTTCATATCATATCTGGAGTATTCCTGGAGGGTGTTCCGGGGGTCAGCACCCCCACTGCCTGGTGGTGGATCATGACCTGATCAACCAGGCTGTTACTGTTGGCCCCACATAAACCAACATATGAACTACAGTCTGGTTAATCAGGTACTGACTTTATATGTCTCCAGCTTCCTCTGTCTTCAAAATTTTTATATTTTACCTACAAAATATGGCACTCCTTGACTTACAATGGGGGCTGCATTCTGACAAACCCATTATAAGTTTAATATATGCTAAATAAATAACTAAATAATTAGCTACTATCACAGAATAAATAAATAAACAATTATATAAATAAATGACTACAAGTTAGGGACTTCCATGTGTGTCATAAGAGGTAGCTAAAATGCCGGGAGCAACAGGTTAGTAGCCCCTTCTGTATATACAGTGGACCCCCGGTTAACGATATTTTTTCACTCCAGAAGTATGTTCAGGTGCCAGTACTGACCGAATTTGTTCCCGTAAGAAATATTGTGAAGTAGATTAGTCCATTTCAGACCCCCAAACATACACGTACAAACGCACTTACATAAATACACTTACATAATTGGTCGCATTCGGAGGTAATTGTTATGTGGGGGTCCACTGTATTACTAAATAAAAAGGAGAAACTTTCATTTTTCCTTTTGGGCCGCCCCGCCTTGGTGGGATGTGGCCAGTTTGTTGAAAGAAGAAGTTAGGGACTTTACTGCCTTCATATTGGGTAATTATCTTTAGTTTCATCTCCAAAGTAATTGCTTTTGCACCATTGTGAAGCCAAAATATGATAAATTGAACCATTGTAAGTCAAGGACCACCTATACTCCAGATCGTTCAGCACGAATGATGGAGGCTTATCCTTTGTGCATCATACTGTATGAAGTTCAGTCTGTGTCAGGTATCCAAAGACTATCTTAAAGTTAAACCATACCACGGGCGGGATTTGAACCTGCGGTCAGAGAGTCTCAAAACTCCAGACCGTCGCGGGTTCAAATCCCGCCTGTGGTATGGTTTGTTTGCAATCGTGTCATTACGATTTCGTGGGTCAAGTTATCTTAAAGTTAGCCTGAATAAGCTGTGTTCTTTTGATACTGTGTGTGACTGATTTAATGGTGATAATGCTATTTAATTCCCCTCAAGTCTTTCTCTGCTGCGCATTGTCAATATTTTTTCGCAGTATCATGCAGCCCATTTTGCCTGTCTTCATATTCCTTAATGTGATATTTATCAATTTTATATTCCCTCATCCATTCATTAATCAAACTCTATTTGCTCTACACAAGTATATATGATAATTCTGCTTAATTTTTTTTTTTTTGTATTCTCATAAAAAGATGTTTATTATAATTAGCCGTTGGAAGCTTAAATAATAATGGAAATAGATGCTTAGTTCTCTTTTGGATTTAAAAAAAAGTGTGATACTGTTAGCATAAATAATAGAATGTATGTTAGTAACTCTATTGATCTAATTGCCTTGCTCTCACGAACATATTAAGATTATTTATTTTTTCGGTATTTCATTCTTCACATTGACTTTTCAAGTTTCCAGCACACAGTATATACAAGAGTTCCATTTATTTACATTTTCTGAGAATATGCGCATGGGCAGCCAGACCACGGGTTCAAATCCTAGTCGTGCCATCAATTTTTTACATTCGTTCATTGCAAATTTTCAACAAACATCTATATAAAGTAATTGTGTGTGTTTGTATATATACAATAATTTTTTGTTTATTTAATATTTAACATGTGTTATCTGTAGATACAGTAGTCACTGTGTATAAATTTTCTTACAGGTAAATTAAGTGAAAACTGAACACGTACAGTACTAGTAACGGAGACGGTAAACAAGACACAATACATCATTACAAAACATGAGCCAAAACAACAGGAATGAATTGCCTTTACAATACTTAAGATGGTAAGATATTACAACAGTTGTCTCCTCAATTAAAAGTCACAATATTGGCTGGAATAATTCACATGTAATGGAGAACAGTGTAGAGCAGATGCTAGTGACAATGATTGAACAGAATGGTGGACGGGGAGGTGAACCCCAGCCGGCAGATTGACAGTCCGACGCTCTACTGACAATGTTTTTACTTCTCTCTAGAGTTTTATTAAAGTAAAATGATGAAGCTGCTATCCTTGTCCATCATTCCTTCAGCACATGTACCTGGCCTCAATATTATTATTGTTATTATTACAATAAAAACTAAGTGCTAAACCCACAAGGGACATGCAGCATACCTAGCTTCATCCTTTATATATCACCAGTTATGCTCAGTAATAACTCCACGTACAGACAGAAACTTGGAGAATTAATTGATATGTATATTTTGACCCCTTTCTGAGATCCTCTTCAGCAGATCTGCTGAAGAGGACAATAAACAGAGTTGAAATATACAGATCAATCAATCTACTGTTTCCATCAGCATGTGAGTTATTACTGAGCAATGACAAGTCTTCAATACACTTCTGTTATTAATCATCAATTATTAATCATCAATTATATTTTTTGAATTACAAAATATCTCCAATATTTTAAAAGCTTATGTATTCATTTTCTAAGGTAATTTTAATCATAGTTTAGATTTAAGACTGCCGAAAATGCTATACATAAAAAGGGGCTTTTTATAATGTAATTTATATATGATAATAACCCTAATTAAATAATATAGCATACTCTACTTTGTAGAAATAGTTTTTTTTTGTTTGTTTGAAGTATTATGGAGCGCTGTATGACCCTGGTGGGTTTAGTGTTTAGTTTTGATTATAAAAATAATTGAAATATTTCCACATTAAGAGTTCTCGTTGCACCAGTCTTGTACATTAGTGTGAGCAGTGAGTCTGTGTTCCCACGTCATGGGTCACTCCAGGCAGCACGGTGAGTCTGTGTTCCCACGTCATGGGTCACTCCAGGCAGCACGGTGAGTCTGTGTTCCCACGTCATGGGTCACTCCAGGCAACACGGTGAGTCTGTGTTCCCACGTCATGGGTCACTCCAGGCAACACGGTGAGTCTGTGTTCCCACGTCATGGGTCACTCCAGGCAGCACGGTGAGTCTGTGTTCCCACGTCATGGGTCACTCCAGGCAGCACGGTGAGTCTGTGTTCCCACGTCATGGGTCACTCCAGGCATCAAGGTGAGTCTGTGTTCCCACGTCATGGGTCACTCCAGGCAACACGGTGAGTCTGTGTTCCCACGTCATGGGTCACTCCAGGCAACACGGTGAGTCTGTGTTCCCACGTCATGGGTCACTCCAGGCAGCAAGGTGAGTCTGTGTTCCCACATCATGGGTCACTCCAGGCAACGCGGTGAGTCTGTGTTCCCATGTCATGGGTCACTCCAGGCAACACGGTGAGTCTGTGTTCCCATGGCATGGATTACTCGAGGCAACAAGGTGCAGGTAACACCTTTTTCTATATAAATTACCGAATGTAAAAATAAGAAAGATTCTGTTTCTTCTTTTTTGGGTCATCTGCTGTGGTGGAAGACGACCGCCTGGTTAAAAAGAAAAATTCACTCAGACTTTTGAGGGGAAACTTTAGACAAGATTTTTGCTAGTCCTGGACCATTATTGCTTAAGTCCCAAGTTGCGACTCGTTAATGGTCAACGACCAATTGACGTGTCCAATATTGCCTCTTACAAAGTATTGGTTAGTTGTAGGTCATCTTGTAACTGGTGTCAAACTTTAAGTTGGTGCTAAAAAACCCAACTATCAAAGTTTTTAACTTGGCTTAAACAAAAATTAGGCTTTCTGAAATTGTGATAGGCTTAGTTGTGTTACACCCTTTGGCCTCTTATGAGTTACCTGTGATATACCTCTGATGAGTTGTGAGAGTTTTCCTACTCTCAGAGCCTGGCCATGGACCAGGCTGGTGTTAGCTTGATCAACCAGGCTGTTGCTGCTGGTGGCCTGTTGCCCCATCACAGCCTGGATGATCTGACACCAACTCAGTACAACTTTCACACACATTTCCAGCCGCACCTTCATCATCACAGTATAACATATACTGTATATGACACTCCACACACATCACAGATGTGACAACATGAGTTTTGAGCAGATTTTTAAGTTTTCAGATATTTTCTGAGGTACTGTATTGGGGCATTAGTCAACACACGCACACACAATGGGAGAGAAAAACTCACACTGGGACAGAAGCTTGAAAGATCTGAATATTTTGACTTCCAACTGAGGTCCTCTTCAGCAGATACATAATGATAAAGAGCAGGCAGTTTTAAACCTTATGTAATTACCAGATATGCACTAAAATGCATTCTGGTACAGAGTTTAATCAAGCACACTCATAACAATGCTTGAGATACCCTGCCTACCACGTGTCCCTCAGGGTACCCTAGATACCCTGCCTACCACGTGTCCCTTGGGGTACCCTAGATACCCTGCCTACCATGTGTCCCTCAGGGTACCCCAAGATACCCTGCCTACCATATGTCCCTCAGGGTACACTAGATACCCTGCCTACCACATGTCCCTCAAGGTAACCTAGATACCCTGCCTACCATGTGTCCCTCAGGGTACCTGATATACCCTGCCTACCATGTGTCCCTCAGGGTACCCGAGATACTCTGCCTACCATGTGTCCCTCATGGTACCTGAGATACCCTGCCTACCATGTGTCCCTCAGGGTACCTGAGATACCCTGCCTACCACGTGTCCCTCAGGGTATCCGAGATACCCTGCCTACCACATGTCCCTCAAGGTAACCTAGATACCCTGCCTACCATGTGTCCCTCATGGTACCTGAGATACCCTGCCTACCATGTGTCCCTCAGGGCACCCGAGATACCCTGCATACCACGTGTCCCTCAGGGTATCCGAGATACCTTCCTAACACACTCCCCACAGGTCAGCCCCCATTGAGATGTTATCCAAGGCCCACAAACATTCCTGCAACAATAAACCAGACTCACCATATCAGTAACTAGGTCAGCCTACCTTGAGGTACTATAAAACATCTTTAGAACCCAGGAAACTAACCTGACATGATAGTATACCATCCCAGAATCAGCAAGGGACTACCCACTCATGTTCTCTCATTCCTTAGCATCTGCTGAAGAGGACCTCAGATGTTAAAACACTCAACCTTCCTTATTTTTGTCTCTATGTAGAGTTTTTTCTCCCATATATATAATTTATTATATTATGCACTCATTTTCATTTATAATACAATGCAAGCATTATAATTTAGACGATGCGGACGATAACTCGTAGAAAAGTACATAGGCTTCAGGACTGCATACTCTTCCCGGGGAAATATTTGACACTCTGCAAAGAAAGAAAAATAATCAAAATTTGTAGTACTGTACAGTGGTATCCCGAGCTTCGTACAGCTCCCAGCTTGACCAGTTATGTGAGTGTATTATTGTAAGTGCTTATGTATGTGCATTTTTGGGGGTCCGAAACGGACTAATCTAATTCATATTATTCTTTATGGGAACAGATTCATATGGTAACAGCACTTGAACAGCCGTCTGGAACAAATTATGGCCGAAACTCAGGGTACCACAAAAATGGAGGACGTGAAAGTGTCATGTTTAGGTGAAGGTGAGTGCACAAACTCACTTTTATTTAGTGTCCCATAAATTTTATAATTCCTTGTTTTATGCAATACAGATTTTGTTAATGTTACAAATAATGTAGTTTACATGTAATATAATATTATTAGGCACAAAATGAAGCCACTAGTATACAAGACAGTACAAGTACACTAACTCACTCGGTGTTTAGCCAGTTTATTTAGACACAGGTACATGTACGTATAATTATCATACATATCTGGAGGGTATTCTCTAGGTATGTATAATTGTACTTTTATGTACTTGTGCCTAAATAACCCAGTTTAACACCTAGTGATCAGTAGCTTAAATGAACTTAGTACAACTGCCATGAACTTGGAATACATACAGTACTGTATAAAGTCAGGGACACCCATATTACAGTTGCAATGGGCATGGAATACATTATGCATAGGGCCAGGGATTCCTGCACCTACTTTCCTTACCAGGGATGCTTAATGACAGTAACATTTGATAGATATGTGACTTAGCAAGGTATCTATCTACCATTGTAAGTAGCTACTCTCCCTTTCGGAGATATCTAATAATATTTGTGAAAGCAGCCAGGGAAATTCTTCAGCCATCTCTGAGTGCTGGACATGGGAAGTACAGTGTCCAGGAGAGCACTGGGTATTGTCTCGATCTTGTCAATGTTCCATGTTTTTGTTGGCTTTCCACTGAGTCAGCAACATTAACATCAGCAGATGCTGCAGCTGTTGTTAATGTTGTGGCTGCTGCTGCAGCTGATGTTAGTGCTGTGGCTGCTGCTGCAGCTGATGTTAGTGCTGTGGCTGCTGCTGCAGCTGATGTTAATGCTGTGGCTGCTGCTGCAGCTGATGTTAGTGCTGTGGCTGCTACTGCAGCTGATGTTAGTGCTGTGGCTGCTGCTGCAGCTGATGTTAATGCTGTGGCTGCTGCTGCAGCTGATGTTAATGCTGTGGCTGCTGCTGCAGCTGATGTTAGTGCTGTGGCTGCTGCTGCAGCTGATGTTAATGCTGTGGCTGCTGCTGCAGCTGATGTTAGTGCTGTGGCTGCTGCTGCAGCTGATGTTAGTGCTGTGGCTGCTGTATTGAAGGAATGCCATAGTGCACTGGTGGGATGTGGAACTGTTAATGAAGTGTGGGAGTCAGTTATAGTAGAGGTGGTGGGAGATGTTATTGTAGGGTGGAAGGTAGTTGTAGTGGTGGTAGAGGTGGTGGGATGTGGTAGTGTTATTGTAGTGTGGGAAGTGGTGGTAGATGTGGTAGTGTGTAGTTCATCTCTGTACAGATATTGTATAGTGTGGAAATAAATCTTTGACTTCTCCTTTCTGTGTATTGTACCTAAATATATCTTTCTCAGTATCCCATTAAACATTACTATCTTGTGTTTGTCAAGAAGGTGACTAGGGATGCTAAGCATAAAGTGCTAGGTAATAGTACCTACCTAGAGTCGTTGTATTCATGCCAGGTGCCAGAATAGGGATGTTTGCAGTACGCTGTGTAATGCCCTGAGTACGTAGTACCAGAGTGGTTGGCTACACCAATCAGGTTGTAGTAGGGTGAGGCACTGGAGCTTGCAGCATATTTGGATAGATTAAGACCCTCCAGCGGAAATTCCACTGTACATGACAACTTTCCCCGCCATCGTTCTAACGGAGAAAAACGCTTCAAATCTGTACATTAAGTTAAGGTAAAGTACACTTCATATGACCAATATGTATATGAATTATATTATTATTATAATAATTATTATTATATCCCACTGAGGCAGGTGATCTGAAAAAGAAAAAGCATTCTCATCATCACTCACTCCATCACTGTCTTGCCAGAGGTATGCCAACACTACGGTTCAGAAACTGCAACATATCTTCACCTATCCTTCAGCGTGCAGACACTGTACTTCCTGGAGGTGGGAAGTACAGTGCCTGTACTCTGAAGGATGAGTGAGGATGTTACAGTTCTGGAGGTGGGAAGTACAGTACCTGTACTCTGAAGGATGAGTGAGGATGTTACAGTTCTATAGGTGGGAAGTACAGTACCTGTACTCTGAAGGATGAGTGAGGATGTTACAGTTCTGGAGGTGAGAAGTACAGTGCCTGTACTCTGAAGGATGAGTGAGGATGTTACAGTTCTGGAGGTAGGAAGTACAGTACCTGTACTCTGAAGGATGAGTGAGGATGTTACAGTTCTGGAGGTGGGAAGTACAGTACCTGTACTCTGAAGGATGAGTGAGGATGTTACAGTTCTGGAGGTGGGAAGTACAGTACCTGTACTCTGAAGGATGAGTGAGGATGTTACAGTTCTGGAGGTAGGAAGTACAGTACCTGTACTCTGAAGGATGAGTGAGGATGTTACAGTTCTGGAGGTGGGAAGTACAGTACCTGTATTCTGAAGGATGAGTGAGGATGTTACAGTTCTGGAGGTAGGAAGTACAGTACCTGTACTCTGAAGGATGAGTGAGGATGTTACAGTTCTGGAGGTGAGAAGTACAGTACCTGTACTCTGAAGGATGAGTGAGGATGTTACAGTTCTGGAGGTGAGAAGTACAGTATCTGTACTCTGAAGGATGAGTGAGGGTGTCACAGTTCTGGAGGTGGGAAGTACAGTACCTGTACTCTGAAGGATGAGTGAAGATGTTACAGTTCTGGAGGTGGGAAGTACAGTGTCTGCACTCTGAAGGATGAGTGAGGATGTTACAGTTCTGGAGGTGGGAAGTACAGTGCCTGTACTCTGAAGGATGAGTGAGGATGTTACAGTTCTGGAGGTGGGAAGTACAGTGCCTGTACTCTGAAGGATGAGTGAGGATGTTACAGTTCTGGAGGTGAGAAGTACAGTGCCTGTACTCTGAAGGATGAGTGAGGATGTTACAGTTCTGGAGGTGGGAAGTACAGTGCCTGTACTCTGAAGGATGAGTGAGGATGTTACAGTTCTGGAGGTGAGAAGTACAGTACCTGTATACTGAAGGATGAGTGAGGATGTTTCAGTTCTGGAGGTGGGAAGTACAGTAACTGTACTCTGAAGGATGAGTGAGGATGTTACAGTTCTGGAGGTGGGAAGTACAGTACCTGTACTCTGAAGGATGAGTGAGGATGTTACAGTTCTGGAGGTGGGAAGTACAGTACATGTACTCTGAAGGATGAGTGAGGATGTTACAGTTCTGGAGGTGGGAAGTACAGTACCTGTACTCTGAAGGATGGGTGAGGATGTTACAGTTCTGGAGGTGGGAAGTACAGTACCTGTACTCTGAAGGATGAGTGAGGATGTTACAGTTCTGGAGGTGGGAAGTACAGTACCTGTACTCTGAAGGATGAGTGAGGATGTTACAGTTCTGGAGGTGGGAAGTACAGTACCTGTACTCTGAAGGATGAGTGAGGATGTTACAGTTCTGGAGGTGGGAAGTACAGTACCTGTACTCTGAAGGATGAGTGAGGATGTTACAGTTCTGGAGGTGGGAAGTACAGTGCCTGTACTCTGAAGGATGAGTGAGGATGTTACAGTTCTGGAGGTGGAAGTACAGTGCCTGTACTCTGAAGGATGAGTGAGGATGTTACAGTTCTGGAGGTGGGAAGTACAGTACCTGTACTCTGAAGGATGAGTGAGGATGTTACAGTTCTGGAGGTGGGAAGTACAGTACAGTGGAACCTCAAAAATTTAACTTAATCCGTTCCAGGAGTTAGTTCTAAATTCGAAAAGTCTGAAATTCGAAGCAATATTTCCCATAAGAAATAATGGAAATACAATTAATCCGTTCCTGAAACCCAAAAATATTCACACAAAAAATACATTTTATAGAGATTAATTACAGTTTTACATACAACAATACTATAGTTTTTAATTATGTATAGTAATACATATAAAATAAAATTTTTACTTACCTTTATTGAAGATTGGTGATGGCATCTGGAAGATAGGGAGGAGGAGAGAGGGAGTTGGGGTTAGAGTTTGGAAGGAGAATCCCCCTCCATGAGGACTTCTGGTAAAGTCCTCTCTGGAGTTACTTCCCTTCTCTGTCTTTTAATGCCACTAGGACCAGCTTGAGAGTCACTGAACCCGTCTCACAAATAACTGTCCACAGTCCTCTGTTTCTGGTGCCTCTTTAACATTTCCCTAAAATGGGACATGGTTCTGTCACTGAATTTGTTGCAAAGATGGCTTGTTTCAGCTTGCTCAGGGTGGTACTTCTGCACAAGCATTTGGTCATCATTCCACTTGGCACAAATCTCCTTAATCTTTGAAGAAGGCACCTCATCCACTCCCTCTTCCTCCTCCTCTGATGCAAGTTCCTCAGCTGTGGTCTTGATCCACACCAGCAACAACTTCTCAACCTCTTCAACTATTTGTGGTCTTTTTTTGGTTAGCATATTAACACCTTTCGCAACATCAGCTTCCTTGATTTGTTCTTTCTTTGACAGGTTAGAACCGATGGTCGGCTTGTTTTTCCCATACATCCTGGCAAGCTCAACAAGTCTCACACCACTCTCATACTTCTGTATTATTTCCTTCTTCACATCTATGGTGTTTCTCACTTTCTTTACCACAGGGGTACCACTAGCAAGTTTCTCTGGGCCCATGGCAGCTTATTTCACAGTCCCACAAGCGCTAAATGCAACGAAATAATCGTAAAATGCGTGAATGAGAGAGCAGGTTAGTGTTCACTCAAGCATAAACAAAGCTAGACTGTTCACGGCGCCTGCACAGGGACGTGGACAGAGCAGGCGGCAGACAGGTCCCGTACCCGGAGGTCTGAAAATAGGGGCGTGTTCAATAATAGGGACACAGTTTGCCAGAAAAAAATGGTCCTATTTTCGAAAGGTTCGATATGTGATACGTTCGATTTTTGAGGTTCCACTGTACCTGTACTCTGAAGGATGAGTGAGGATGTTACAGTTCTGGAGGGACATCTGAGCTGTAGCAATGGCACACCCCTGACAAAACAGTGATGGAGTGAATGATGGTGAAAGTGTTTTTTCTTTTCTGGGTCACCCTACCTCAGCAGGAGATGCCAGGATGTTATAAAATATATTAAATATCCTACATGTAAATGAAATTAAACATGAAGAAGACAAAACTCGTTCACAAAAGGATACGAAGAACAAGAACTTTGGGAAACTTCTGGATGCAGAACGATTTTGTCATTTTTCTTCGTTCTTTGCACTTCGAACATGTCTGGAAAAAAGACATACAAGTCAGAAATACAAAAAATAATTGTATTTGTATCAAAGATTAAAAATGTAATTAAATCAGTCATGTAATAAAGTTGGTAGAATTACCGACAATATGTAAAGTAAAAGGACACAAGTGCAACTAATGTGACATTTTATTGTGGCAACGTTTCACTCTCCAGGAGCTTTATCAAGTTCCTGGAGAGCGAAACGTTGCCACAATAAAATGTCACATTAGTTGCACTTGTGTCCTTTTACTAAATCAGTCATGTTGTATAAAACAAAATCTATGTTCGTTATTTTTATTATTTTCCCCCAAGGAAGGAGAAAGTTTAATTTCTTGGATCAAGAGCCCTTCACCAGCATCAAGGAACCTGCATTCAAGGACTCATTTCTTTTACAATGTAATAATAAAAATATAAATAATAATAAAGTTAATACAATTGGGTCAACAAATTCACGTGTAAACCATTGAGAGAATTTTGAATTAATTCCCCTAAAGTCAGTACCTGACCAACCGGGCTGTGGTTCATACGTTAGCTTGCGTGCGGCCAGCAGTAACAGCCTGGTTGATCAGACCCTGATCCACCATGAGGCCTGGTCTCAGACCGGGCCGCAGGGGTGTTGGCCCCCGAAACCCTCTCCAGGTAAACTCCAGGTACGGTTAATTTTTCACTTCAAGAATTTTGTGTACTGCCTCACAACTTGAGGTCAGACAACCCCCCTCAAGGGAGGTTCCTTGATGCTGGCGAGAGGCTCTTGATCTAGGGAACTGGATCTGTGCTCCAGTTCCCGTAATTAAACCTGAATACTTTCCATCCCTCCACACATGCGCTGTATAATCGTACAGGTTTAGCACTTCCCCTTGATTACAATAATAATAGTCGAGGTCAGACATCAAATGCAAATTTATATCTTTCCCGCAGTATACAGGTACTGTAGTTTACATGTAATACAATATTTTTTGGCCTAAAATAAAACCACTAAGATGTTGTGTATTTCTGGCAGACTAATACTAGTAATTAAAAGCTACTTAAGAACTAGACATGGGCTATTAAGTACGAATATTGTCGTGAATATTGTCAATTATTGTACAGTGGTGTGCATCAGCCGGCCCAGATCAGCTGCCAGATGCATGGTCGTAAGTCGAGTCGACGTATGTCGAGCAGGTCGTAAGTCGGATGGTAGGTGTACTAGTTTTTAAATGCACAAAAGCCGAGGTAGTTAAATGAACAATAGTTCAATTTTAAGTATGTCTTAATACTTTCACTGATTCAGTGATCTTCAGTCAACTGGGATAATTAAATTACACTAATTCAGAACCTTAGAAAATTTAGACTCTGAGTGTACAAATACAGTGGAACCTTGGTACTGGAACAGCTCCCTGCTGGAACAAAGCTCAGCACTCGACCGAACAAACATGATCTGCCAGAACTTCGCTATAAACTATTTTGTATTTCTTTGCATTTTTTGGTGTTTTTTATATTACAGTATTTGTACAAATAAGGCACCATGGGGCCTACGAAGATTAGTGATAACAGCCAACCAAAAAGAAAATTGGTTGGGAAGTATTCGTTCAATACTTGAATGGATCGGCACTAGAACAGCCTTCTGAAATTAATTAAGTTCAAGTACCAAGGTTCCACTGTATCTCAATCTCCCTGTAAAAATGTGTTCACACTTACTGGTCTTTCATCACCATCCAGCACTTCCTCTTTGGTGAAGAGGTCAAGGCACTGTGCCAGTCGCACTTGACCTGACTTGCTGGGAATAGGTAGACTGAGATCCCAGAATGGGTCAAAGGTCACAGAACAGTGACCACAGACAGAACACTGTAAACATGACTTCAACTGTCCAACAAACATGTCTACGATCTTGCTGTCGTCGTAGCGTAGATATCGCTTCCAGGATTCCATAGCTTTCTGATTGTCACTGGAAACAAATAAATTTAAGAAAGAATTGTACAGGTGTTCCACGACTTACGATATTTTGACTTTACAATGGTGCGGCAACAATTACGTACTTTGGAGATGAAACTTAATTACCCAACTTGAAGGTGGCAAGTCCCTAACTTTATTCATGTATTTAATTTTCAGTACAGGTATTTAGTTACAGTAATTATTTATTTATTTACTAATTCAGCAACAGTACTTATTTATTTAACATATACAGTGGACCCCCGCATAACGATCACCTCCGAATGCGACCAATTATGTAAGTGTATTTATGTAAGTGCGTTTGTATGTGCATGTTTGGGGGTCTGAAATGGACTAATCTACTTCACAATATTTCTTATGGGAACAAATTCGGTCAGTACTGGCACCTGAACATACTTCTGGAGTGAAAAAATATCGTTAACCGGGGTCCACTGTATTAAGTAAGATGGATTTGCCAGAACGTAACCTCCATTGTAAGTCAAGGAGCACCTGTACTGTGGTCATGAAGAATAAGTCGCACTATCATAGTAGAATTACCAACAAACTGCTACGTAAATAGACACAGTTGCAACTAATGTGACATTTTATTGTGGCAACGTTTTGCTCAGCAGGAACTTAAAGTTCTTGGAGAGTGAAATTTGCCACAGTATATGTAATGCCATATTAGTTGCTGTTGTGTCCTTGTACCTCACACAATACCATGGTTTAAATATACACAAATAACCTGTATGTAGGAGAGAGGTGCTTATGATGATATTTTGGTTCCACTTGGACTATTTACAAGTGACACTAAAACACGAAGATGAGTGAGTCAGTAGATATAGAAGAGGAGGACACAGACAAGATAAAGAGAGCAAGGAAGAAGGAAGTGGAGAAGTAGTGGTTGAGATAATGGCTGAAACAATTCACAAATATCCACAATTTGGAGAGGAATCTTCAAAGGTTTTGACCAGTCATCAATCAACAAATTAAAACTGTCAACAGTCCAGGACAAATATATCATCTAAATTGTCCTGTCCAGAATGTGGGTCACTTCTGAGTTGTTTCAGCCACAGTGTTAAGACTTACATTTTTCATATTAGAGAGATAGTATATCAGTGGTATTAAATACCGACAAGATGAAGAAGTAGACGTATCTGGGTATCTTTAAGGGTACCCAGATATGTCATCTGGTGCAACATCTGGGTATCTTTAAGGATACCCAGATATGTCATCTGGTGCAACATCTGGGTATCTTTAAGGATACCCAGATATGTCATCTGGTGCAACATCTGGGTATCTTTAAGGATACCCAGATGTTGCACATGTGTCTTATTCATCATTAAACAGATAAATTACAAAAACAGCAGTGAGATTAAGATAGTTTGTAGATTAACAGTAGAATGTGTATACAGTATACCAGCTTGTAGATGACAATGTGTATACAGTATGCTAAATATACAGACTTAGTAATGCTGAGAGCTGATATACAGTATATTACACAATACAGTATATTTCTACCATTAAAATGATAATTTACTACAGAATAATAAGGAGGGGTGTTAATGTTGCAGTTTAAAAACTGTAGTGTAAAGCACCCTTCTGGCAAGACAGTGATGGAGTGAATGATGGTGAAAGTTTTTCTTTTTCAGGCCACCCTGCCTTGGTGGCCACCCTGCCTTGGTGGCCACCCTGCCTTGGTGGCCACCCTGCCTTGGTGGGCCACCCTGCCTTGGTGGCCACCCTGCCTTGGTGGCCACCCTGCCTTGGTGGGCCACCCTGCCTTGGTGGCCACCCTGCCTTGGTGGCCACCCTGCCTTGGTGGGCCACCCTGCCTTGGTGGCCACCCTGCCTTGGTGGCCTCCCTGCCTTGGTGGGAATCAGCCAGTGTGTTAATAATAAAAAAATAATAAATAATAATAAGCACAAGTGAACTGAAAGAACATGAAGTAAAGAGTTTTTATCCATTACAGACAAAATTGTGCTATATAGGCCTACCTGGCTAATATGGTGGGTTAGCTTCCAGACCGTCACCATAAAGCCAATCACGGCCTTTTTCTTCACTTGCCAGTGTATATAAAAGCCTAAAAACATGTTTACACTATCATTTATTAGGTGCACAACAGTGCTAGGCCTAAAAAAAAAAGACGCAAAAGTAAAAATAATAGAACATCGTACGAGCAAGGCAAGCACTGAAATAATAAACGTAAATATAACTGAAAAGCACCGTATTAGTGAAGAGCTCTAAAACAAGCACTGTATTAATGAGGTATAACTGTGTATATATTTAACAAATTCTAGAGTACTTAATACACAGTCAACAATGTGCAACTTACACACAAATAACCCACATGTATGATAAAGAAGCTTATCATGATGTTTTGGTCTGACTTGGATCATTGACAAGTCAGACTAACACAGGAAGATGAGGGAGACAGTATATATAGGAGAGGAAGACAGGGACAGGACACACAGAGGAAGAAATAGTGCAACTTACTCTAGATCATCATCAATATCTTCTGTTATGGGCTTAGGCTTGGCAGAGACTCTATTAACATCTTCATGTAGGCCTTCCAGCAGCTTGCGAAGGAATTCCTGAGCATCGTGTTGTTGGTACCCTGAGAACACTGGAGCAAACCTCTGAATCTGTGACTTAAATGGTCCGGTGTTAAGAGCTCGACTGTTATCACTGCCCTCATTCCACATGTCTGACAGTAGGCTGGCAAACGCTGTCAAAACAAATAGTTTCTTATAAAATGGCAAAGAAATATATGTTTTATATATAGTACACCTACCATCCGACTTACGACCGAGTTCGGTTCCGAGAAACCGGTCATAAGTCGAAATAGTCGTAAGTCGAACTTTACTACTGAATATCAACAAAACATTTTTGTAATGACTTTATTTTATTGTTTTATTTTGGTATTTCATGTTTTACTTTACTTTTTATGTTGTTAGTACTGTATTTTATACTGTAAGGTTTAGGATAAACACTGTGTACAACACAAATAGTTGTTTATTTCCCAGAAATTTGGCATAAAAAACACGGTCGTAAGTCGAGCAGGTTGTAAGTCAGATGGTAGGTGTATTTAATTATTTTATTACACCTGACAGTCTCCCACCACAGTAAAGTGGCTCCCAAAAAAGAGGATACATATTTACCATCATTCATTCAATCAGTGTCTTGCCAGAAGTACACTGACAACTGAGTTCAGTTCAGTATAGTATATATATTATATTACATCGTGATGTACTCAGCCTTGCTTAGCTATCTTTTACCAGTCTTAAGTTAACTTGAAGTTCCCAGCATATTAAGGGGTTTTCTGCATGTAAAGTGCTTTTGTAAGTGTATTTACATTATTCTTTACACTTACATTATTCTTTATGGGAACAAATTCGTTCAGTAACGGCACTAACAGCTTTCTGGAATGAATTATGGCCAAAACTCAGGGTACCACTGTAGTCTATAAGTATTAGGTTAACTCTGCCTGAAATACCTTGGCATGATAGTAACTGTCTTTGTACCAATCAAATTATGATATGTAAACACAACATTGTAACCTTAGCAAACAAATAAGTTTTGATTTTGATTTTGATTTGATTTTGATACACACTACTTAGGACTAAACACAGTTTATTAAATAGGAGTTATTAAATACACAAAAAAGAGAGGTAGTTAAGTGAACAATAATAAATTTTTAAAAGAATACTTAAAAAACTACAAAATGAGCAGGGACTGAACCCATACTTGGAGTATCCCTGGAGTATACCTGGAGTATCCCTGGAGTATACCTAGAGGGTGTTTTGGGAGTCAATGCCACCATGGCTTGGTCCATAACCAGGCCACAAGTTCAGTCCCTGCACATTCTGTGCATTTAATACTTGAATTCAATGATCTTCCGTTAAGTAAGATTTTGTAGGGTGACAAAATTAACCTTAGTTGTGGGAAATGTTCTACATAACCAGGAACTTTCTATATAGTATGTCATTGATGTCAGCTATGGTCTGTATAAGTTGTATCATGTAGATATAAACATTGTTGCTATTATTACAGCGGAACCTCAAAAATCGAACTGCTCCCAACTCAACCAATTATGTAAGTGTATTTTTGTAAGTGCTTTTATAAGTGTATTTTTGAGGGTCTTAAATGGACTAATCTAATTTACATTATTCCTGATGGGAATAAATTCGTTCGGTAGTGGCACTCGAACAGCCTTCTGGACCAAAGAAAGTTCGATTTTGAGGTTCACTGTCAGTGTATTATTATTATTAACAGTTATGTCATTGGTGTCAGCTTATGGGTCTGTATAAGCGGTATCTTGCATTTTGTAGAAAAAACATTATTATTATTATCTTAACTTATGTATTATTATTATATAAGTATGCAGTTCATGTACTGCGTATAAGGTATCGCCTTTACATAGTAGATTATATGTTTATTTGATGTCGAAGATTCCAGTCCCGTACCAGGTCTCAGGAGACATCTTGTGTTGCTCAAACACTGTGTTACACTATTCATAAAACACTGAAATGACAAACAAAAGTGTTACTCCAGAGATATATGTACTAAAAGAGGTATAGTCTGGAAAATTCAATGTACTGGAACTATCTCACTGTTGAGTCTGGCCCATGACCGGTGATGAACCTGCATTTTTAGGGCCCTGAAGTTTGAACTGTTATGGGGGCCCCTTCTCAACCCTTTTTCATACAGTGAGACCCAAAATTTTGCAGTAATATGGACTAAAGTGGCTTCTGGGGCCCTCCAGGATTAGGGGCCCTATGATCGGACCCAAAAACTCTTGTAACTCATCAAAGGTACTTAGATCAATTTTAATTTTGTTTTCAACATGCCATCGTCTCCCACCAAGGTAGGGTGACCCAAAAGAGAAGAAACACTTTCACCATCATTCACACTATCACTATTCAAAAAATAAGTCTTATAAACCATAGAAATTACTTTCAGCAATTGTAAATTCAAATTTATTATATTTTAAATCTGATTGTATTATAATACAATCAAATGCATTCTGAGCACATTAATCATAAGGCCTACAAACTAATTATATTTAGGCCTAGTATATACCTGGAGTTTACCTGGAGAGAGTTCCGGGGGTCAACGCCCCTGCGGCCCGGTCTGTGACCAGGCCTCCTGGTGGATCAGAGCCTGATCAACCAGGCTGTTACTGCTGGCTGCACGCAAACCAACGTACGAGCCACAGCCCGGCTGGTCAGGAACCGACTTTAGGTGCTTGTCCAGTGCCAGCTTGAAGACTGCCAGGGGTCTGTTGGTAATCTCCCTTATGTATGCTGGGAGGCAGTTGAACAGTCTCGGGCCCCTGACACTTATTGTATGGTCTCTTAACGTGCTAGTGACACCCCTGCTTTTCATTGGGGGGATGTTGCATCGTCTGCCAAGTCTTTTGCTTTCGTAGTGAGTGATTTTCGTGTGCAAGTTCGGTACTAGTCCCTCTAGGATTTTCCAGGTGTATATACGTAATCATGTATCTATCCCACCTGCATTCCAGGGAATACAGGTTCAGGAACCTCAAGCGCTCCCAGTAATTGAGGTATTTTATCTCCGTTATGCGCGCCATGAAAGTTCTCTGTACTTTTCTAGGTCAGCAATTTCACCTGCCTTGAAAGGTGCTGTTAGTGTGCAGCAATATTCCAGCCTAGATAGAACAAGTGACCTGAAGAGTGTCATCATGGCTTGGCATCCCTAGTTTTGAAGGTTCTCATTATCCATCCTGTCATTTTTCTAGCAGATGCGATTGATACAATGTTATGGTCCTTGAAGGTGAGATCCTCCGACATGATCACTCCCAGGTCTTTGACGTTGGTGTTTCACTCTATTTTGTGGCCAGAATTTGTTTTGTACTCTGATGAAGATTTAATTTCCTCATGTTTACCATATCTGAGTAATTGAAATTTCTCATCGTTGAACTTCATATTGTTTTCTGCAGCCCACTGAAAGATTTGGTTGATGTCCGCCTGGAGCCTTGCAGTGTCTGCAATGGAAGACACTGTCATGCAGATTCGGGTGTCATCTGCAAAGGAAGACACGGTGCTGTGGCTGACATCCTTGTCTATGTCGGATATGAGGATGAGGAACAAGATGGGAGCGAGTACTGTGCCTTGTGGAACAGAGCTTTTCACCGTAGCTGCCTCGGACTTTACTCTGTTGACGACTACTCTCTGTGTTCTGTTAGTGAGGAAATTATAGATCCATCGACCGACTTTTCCTGTTGTTCCTTTAGCACGCATTTTGTGCGCTATTACTCCATGGTCACACTTGTCGAAGGTTTTTGCAAAGTCTGTATATATTACATCTGCATTCTTTTTGTCTTCTAGTGCATTTAGGACCTTGTCGTAGTGATCCAATAGTTGAGACAGACAGGAGCAACCTGTTCTAAACCCATGTTGCCCTGGGTTGTGTAACTGATGGGTTTCTAGATGGTTGGTGATCTTGCTTCTTAGGACCCTTTCAAAGATTTTTATGATATGGGATGTTAGTGCTATCGGTCTGTAGTTCTTTGTTGTTGCTTTACTGCCCCCTTTGTGGAGTGGGGCTATGTCTGTTGTTTTAGTAACTGTGGGACGACCCCCGTGTCCATGCTCCCTCTCCATAGGATGGAAAAGGCTCGTGATAGGGGCTTCTTGCAGTTCTTGATGAAAACGGAGTTCCATGAGTCTGGCCCTGGGGCAGAGTGCATGGGCATGTCATTTATCGCCTGTTCGAAGTCATCTGGCGTCAGGATAACATCGGATAGGCTTGTGTTAATCAAATTTTGTGGCTCTCTCATAAAAAATTCATTTTGATCTTCGACTCTCAGTCTGGTTAGCGGCTTGCTAAAAACTGAGTCATATTGGGACTTGAGTAGCTCACTCATTTCCTTGCTGTCATCTGTGTAGGACCCATCTTGTTTAAGTAGGGGCCCAATACTGGATGTTGTTCTCGACTTTGATTTGGCATAGGAGAAGAAATACTTTGGGTTTCTTTCAATTTCATTTATGGCTTTTAGTTCTTCCCGCGATTCCTGACTCCTATAAGATTCCTTTAGCTTAAGTTCGATGCTTGCTATTTCTCTGACCAGTGTCTCCCTACGCATTTCAGATATATTGACCTCTTCTAGCCGCTCTGTTATTCTTTTCCGTCGCCTGTAAAGAGAGCGCCTGTCTCTTTCTATTTTACATCTACTCCTTCTTTTTCTTAGAGGAATAAGCCTTGTGCATACATCGAGTGCCACCAAGTTAATCTGTTCTAGGCATAAGTTGGGGTCTGTGTTGCTTAGTATATCTTCCCAGCTTACATCGGTTAGGACTTGGTTTACTTGGTCCCTCTTTATGTTTTTGTTATTGAAGTTGAATTTGGTGAATGCTCCCTCGTGACTAATCTCATTATGTCGGTCTGGGGCTCCACGCATACATGTCTGAACCTCAATTATGTTGTGATCTGAGTATATTGTTTTTGATATGGTGACATTTCTTATCAGATCATCATTGTTAGTGAAGATGAGGTCTAGTGTATTCTCCAGTCTAGTAGGCTCTATTATTTGCTGGTTTAAATTGAATTTTGTGCAGAGATTTAAAAGCTCGTGTGAGTGTGAGTTTTCATCAGAGCTGCCTCCTGGTGTTATTACTGCAACAATATTATTTGCTATATTCCTCCATTTTAGGTGCCTTAAGTTGAAATCCCCCAGGAGCAAGATGTTGGGTGCAGGAGCTGGAAGATTTTCCAGACAGTGGTCAATTTTTAACAGCTGTTCCTGGAATTGCTGGGATGTTGGCATCCGGAGGCTTGTAGACTACCACAATGACTAGGTTTTGGTTCTCGACCTTTACTGCTAAAACTTCCACTACATCATTTGAGGCATTAAGGCAGTTCTGTGCAAACAAGTGACTCTGCAATGTACAGGCCAACCCCCCCCCCTTTTTGCCTGTTCACTCTGTCACATCTGTATAGGTTGTAACCTGGGATCCATATTTCGTTGTCCAAGTGATCCTTTATGTGGGTCTCAGTGAAAGCCGTGAACATTGCCTTTGCCTCTGCAAGCAGTCCACGGATGAAAGGTATTTTGTTGTTTGTTGCTGGCTTTAGACCCTGTATATTTGCAAAGAAGAATGTCATTGGACTGATGGTATTGTTGGTACTGGGGGGGATTTTTTTCCGGCATTAGTATCTGTATCTGTTGGTTTGGAGTAGAGGCCATCGACTGTGGTTCCACTCCAGGAATGAATGGATTTGGTGTATGATTTCTGCCATTTCCTGCCAGTTTTTTTTCCTTCCTGGCACTAAAAAACCTCTCCCTTTTGAGTGGCTGTGGCTACCCAGGTTTTCCCATGGCCTGGATGTTTTGTATCTTTTTGTCCCCTTTAGATGGTGTGCCTGGCAATTTAAGTTATAGCACAGTCTTTCCTGTACTGAAGAGGTACACAGTTCAGGGTGAAAAAGCTTACAGGAAGGGAGTTTGCATTTTCCTGTTGTCATATGGGCACGGCATTTTCTAGGGTGGTCATAGTTGCACGTCCTGTCTGTTTTTCCAGATTTCCCATGTCTGCAGATACCAAGTATGTGCACAGGCTTGGTTTCCGTTTGCCTTGGGTTTCTGTGACTGTATTCCCTGTTGATGCATGTTTCCCTGTCTTATTCCTATCCTCCCTAGCACCAACAATGGAGCTCCCACCAGTTGTTTTTGGTAATAAGAGCTTTCCCAGGATTATAATAATACTCTGGCAAGTTTTATGTTAATATAATTGCATTGCAAGTTTTAATACAATCAGTGGAAGTCAGACAGACAGTCCTGGATGACCCACTGATTTTCTTGGGTTATCCTGGATGGCTAACACTCCCTACCCTGGGTTATCCTGGCTGGCTAACACTCCCTACCCTGGGTTATCCTGGCTGGCTAACACTCCCTACTCTGGGTTATCCGGCTGGCTAAAAACTCCCTACCCTGGGTTATCCTGGCTGGTTAACACTCCCTACCCCGGGTTATCCTGGCTGGCTAACACACCCCTACCCTGGGTTATCCTGGCTGGCTAACACTCCCTACCCTGGGTTATCCTGGCTGGCTAACACTCCCTACCCTGGGTTATCCTGGCTGGCTAACACTCCCTACCCTGGGTTATCCTGGCTGGCTAACACTCCCTACCCTGGGTTATCCTGGCTGGTTAACACTCCCTACCCTGGGTTATCTTGGCTGGGTAATCCTCCCTACCCTGGTTATCCTGGCTGGCTAACACTCCCTACCCTGGGTTATCCTGGCTGGCTAGCGCTCCCTACCCTGGGTTATCCTGGCTGGTTAACACTCCCTACCCTGGGTTATCTTGGCTGGCTAATCCTCCCTACCCTGGTTATCCTGGCTGGCTAACACTCCCTACCCTGGGTTATCCTGGCTGGCTAGCACTCCCTACCCTGGGTTATCCTGGCTGGCTAACACTCCCTTCTCTGGGTTATCCTGGCTGGCTAATCCTCCCTACCCCAGGCTATCCTGGCTGGCTCACCTTCCTCGGGTTAAAAATCCAAACAGATTTAATCTTATCTCACATTACAATTAAGTAAACTTGGTCAGTATCTAAAAGTTTACCACAACGAATGATAACCGAGTTGGTAAACTTTTTCCAGCATAACTGAAGAGTGAGTCAGTTAAGCTGGGTGGGAGTGTAGCAAATATTTGTACCCAGAGTTAAAATGATAACTCCGAGATAAAACACTATGTTAACATGGAACCCTCATATCACTACCCTCCACTGGTAGCGCATTCAGCTTACACACTGAGGTCTGGGGTTCAATCCTCGGTACGGCTTGAAACATTAGGACGTGTTTCCTTAAGACACCTGATGTCACTGTTCACCAGTAGTAAGTAGGTACCTGGGTGTTGGTCACCTTACACCTGCTGTCACTGTTCACTTAGCAGTAAGTAGGTACCTGCGTGTTAGTTACCTTACACCTGCTGTCACTGCTCAGCTAGCAGTAAGTAGGTGCATGGGTATTGGTCACCTTACAACTGCTGTCACTGTTCACCTAACAGTAAGTAGGGACCTGGGTGTTAGTGGATTGGTGTGGGTGGGATCCTGGACACATTGACTCACTCACAAGATGTTTGGCAGACAAAAAATGGTATTCACATCCTCGCCCATTCCATCTGCATTCATGATATTATGATTTCATGAGTCATGCTTAACAAGCAATTGTTTCCACCAGGCAAGATTTATATTCGACTCTCAAATTACGAAAGTAATAAAAGTTCTATAGAAATACTCACTGTGTTCCCTATATTTCTTAAACCCACGAGACCATTATTTTCACTTAAGACACTGGTACTACTGCTGCTGCTGCTTGTTGTTGTGGTTGAGCTGCAGCTTGTGGTGGATGCGTGGCGGCGTGGAGGCGAACTTTCCTGCAACAATAATAATAATAATAACAATGATAATAATATGTCTATAAGTACATGTACAAGGTATACAGACCATAGATGATATCAGTGACATACTACTATATAGAATGTGCCATATGCAGAGTATTTCCCACAAATTAGGCCAATTTTGTTCCCAGAATGCAACCCACACCAGTCCACTAACAATCAGGTACCTATTTACTGCTAGGTGAACATGGACAGCAAGTATCTTAGGGAAACACACCCTAATGTTTCCACCCATACCAGGGATCAAACCGTGGACCTCAGTGTGCGTGAGCTGATTGCACTATCAATAAAGCTATATGCAAGCTCGTCTCTATGCAAATAAATAATAATAATAATAATTTTATATCTTTCCTGCAGTATACAGGTAATGTAATTTACATGTAATAAAATATTATCAGCTATAAAATAGAGCCAGTAATGTACTGTGCATTACTGGCAGATTATGCTAGGCTGGACCTAATCACCTAATGCACCTAATGCACAAATTAACATTAAGATCGACAACACTCTAATTACCAGACATAATGAGGGCAAATTCCTAGGCCTATACCTAGACAACAACCTGAATTTCAGCACCCATATCCAACACATAACCAAAAAAGTATCCAAAACAGTTGGGATCCTCTCCAAGATACGATACTACGTGCCGCAAACTGCCCTTCTCACACTATACCACTCACTTATTTATCCATACCTCACCTATGCTATTTGTGCTTGGGGATCAACTGCAGTAACACACCTAAAGCCAATAATAACCCAACAAAAAGCTGCAGTAAGAATAATCACTAAATCCCATCCCTGTCAACCCCCCCCCCCCCACTCTTCAAAGATCTAAACTTACTCCCTGTTCAGTACATCCACACTTACTACTGTGCAATCTACATCTACAGGACCTTAAACTCCAATATCAACCTTGACCTAAAACGCTTTCTTCATAGTTGTGACAGAACCCACAGGCATAACACCAGACACAAACATCTCTACGACATTCCCCGTGTCCGACTAAACCTTTACAAAAATTCAATGAATGTCAAAGGCCCTAAAATCTGGAACACCCTACCTGAGAACTCTAGAACTGCAGACACATTCATCACCTTCAAAACTACCATTAGAAAACATCTTATCATCCTGATAAACCCAATCAACTAACTACACGAATACCACCTGGTGGTTCACACTTACACTCACTCACCCATTTGACCATAAACAGAAATATTAATCTCAATCTTCAAATAATGAATCCTATGATACTCCAATACTGAAACTATGTACTGTGCCAAAACAAAAGCATTCACATTGCTAAACTCACAAACTAGTATTTAGTCACTTAGCTATAATACCAACTTACCTCATAATTTGTAATATTTTAAAATAAAGAATTAAACTAAATCTGCCCGAAATGCCTAGCCATGCTAGGCGTTCTAGTGGTACACTCTGTAATCATTATTTAACTACATGTAAACCACACAACAACCAAATTCTGTAAATTCAACATTGTAATCTTTATAGAGAATAAACTTTGAATTTGAATTTGAATTATAACACTGTATAAGAATATAAAGTCACTTCAGTAGCTCTACTGACCCATGGTAGGCTGGTTCTACTCACCCAACCATTCTAACCAAACCATACCCCGGCCGGGATTGAACCCGAGGTCAGAGAGTCTCAAAACTCCAGCCCGTTGCGTTAGCCACTAGACCAGCTAGCCACAATAAGATTCATCCAACTAGGTATATTTCTACACCATAGGAAGGTTAGCACAGGCACCACTGTGACCACAAATGCAAGTTTTTACAGACGAATCTCCAGCCAGCATGGACGTGACGAACTCTAGCTCAAGTCCCTTCACTGCCATCAACCATTTTATTATACAGCTTCTCCTCACTTAACAACGAGGTTCCATTCCTAAGAGTAGGTTGATAAGTGAATTGGTTGTTAAGTGAGGAGCACACTGTATTGGTAATGGGTTTGTGTCAACCATCTTTGATATTGTTTTAATGTCACCTTTGCACCTTTTATAACATTTTAGTATATTTTTAAATGTTATACAGTAGTGTAGTGTATACTGTAATGAAGAGAATAGAGAAAATCAGCTTTAATATACATTATTTAGGTATACATACTGCTCAGAGAGCTGGTTGTAAGTCAGAGTCATCGGTAAACGAGGCTGTATTAAATTTTAATAATAGGATCACTTCAGTAGGTCTACTGACCAATGCTAGGAAGGTCCTCCTCAAACCCAATCATTCTGTGTGTCTAGTTAATGGTCCAGGTCAGACCAAAACATTGTCGTAAGATTCTGTCTCCCATGAGAGGGTTATTTGTGTATTGTTCCAGTCATGATATTGTGCCTTTTTTGCTCTTCAGAGGACTGATGAGGACAAATGTCCTAGGGAGGATGAATGTCCTGGGGAAGATGTACCTCTGTAATCCTTTGACTACCGCCCACAGGATGAGTATGTGGTGACTACCGCCCACAGGATGAGTATGTGGTGACTACCGCCCACAGGATGAGTATGGGCTGCATGATAAGGATATTTAACAAAAAAAATAACAGGAATAAAATTGTCATTGATGCGCCAGACAAGGTTAAAGTGAGACGTAATCACTCTACCAAGGACAGCGTCATCACTCTACCAAGGACAGCACAGAATTCCAATGGAAATAAGTCAAGGACCACACTAGTAAGCCACTGGTAGGTGATACAAGCACTAGTAAGCCACTGGTAGGTGATGCCAGCACTAGTAAGCCAGTGGTAGGTGATACCAGCACTAGTAAGCCACTGGTAGGTGATACAAGCACTAGTAAGCCACTGGTAGGTGATACCAGCACTAGTAAGCCAGTGGTAGGTGATAAAAGCACTAGTAAGCCACTGGTAGGTGATACCAGCACTAGTAAACCACTGGTAGGTGATACAAGCACTAATAAGCCACTGGTAGGTGATACCAGCACTAGTAAGCCAGTGGTAGGTGATAAAAGCACTAGTAAGCCACTGGTAGGTGATACCAGCACTAGTAAACCACTGGTAGGTGATACAAGCACTAATAAGCCACTGGTAGGTGATACCAGCACTAGTAAGCCAGTGGTAGGTGATGCCAGCACTAGTAAGCCAGTGGTAGGTGATACCAGCATTAGTAAGCCAGTGGTAGGTGATACCAGCACTAGTAAGCCAGTGGTAGGTGATACCAGCACTTGTAAGCCAGTGGTAGGTGATACAAGCCAGTGGTAGGTGATACCAGCACTAGTAAGCCAGTGGTAGGTGATACAAGCCAGTGGTAGGTGATACCAGCACTAGTAAGCCAGTGGTAGGTGATACCAGCACTAGTAAGCCACTGGTAGGGGATACCAGCACTAGTAAGCCACTGGTTATTCTTCGAAGGTTAATTATCTTGAATGAACCTGGGTTATTAGCCCTCCAGTGTTAATCCTAGGTTATTAACCCACATGTTAATAATCTTGGGTTAACCTGGCTTACTAATCTCTTCAACTTAACACAGCAAGCCAGAATCACACAAGCCAGGTCAAACACGCTTGTGCAGAACCTATCTACCAAGAATAGGTAGGTTCCTAACTTTGAGTTATGGCCCCATATTGTGGCCCATAACTGGCAAGCTTATTATAAATTATATCAGATATAATCCCAAGTCACACTGATGGATTTAAGTTGATCTATAATTTAATCACTGGTGGAAGGGATCCTGATCCAGGGAATTGGATTTACGCCCTCCTTCCTTAGATCAAGGCCTCTTACCCTCTCTTGCTGGTGCAGTGTGGGTTTACCTGGAGTTTACCTGGAGAGAGTTTCGGGGGTCAATGCCCCCGCAGCCCGGTCTGTGACCAGGCCTCCTGGTGGATCAGCGCCTGATCAACCAGGCTGTTGCTGCTACTAATGGTTTAGCAAATCCTTGTGAATATAATGATAATTATTATGATGATGACAATAATAATGACAGTAACAATCACAATGACAATAATAATAATGATAATGACAATATAATGATATAATCATTATGATAATATGATAATCACAAAAATGATAATAATAAGAACATAAGAACATAAGAACGAAGGAACACTGCAGAAGGCCTACTGGCCCATGCGAGGCAGGTCCAAGTCTCCTACCGGCTTAAGCCAATGCACCCAACCTAGTCAGGTCAGGTCACATTGACTTAAGGGAGGAACACGGCAACCGACCTGGTAGCACAAGCTATCACGTCTAACTCACACCCACCCACATCTACTCATGTATTTATCCAACCTATTTTTAAAGCTACACAACGTTCTAGCCTCTATAACGGTACTTGGGAGTTTGTTCCACTCATCCACAACTCTATTACCAAACCAGTACTTTCCTATATCCTTCCTGAATCTGAATTTTTCCAACTTAAAACCATTGCTGCGAGTCCTGTCTAGGCTAGATATTTTCAGCACGTTATTTACATCCCCTTTATTTATTCCTGTCTTCCATTTATACACCTCAATCATATCCCCCCTAATTCTACGTCTTTCTAGAGAGTGCAGATTCAGGGCCCTTAGTCTATCCTCATAGGGAAGGTTTCTGATACATGGGATCATCTTTGTCATCCTCCTTTGTACATTTTCCAGAGAATTTATATCGATTCTGTAATACGGTGACCAAAACTGTGCTTATGATAATTATGATAATCATAAAAATAATAGTAATGATAATTATAATAATCATTGTGACCAAAACTGTGCTAATGATAATTATGATAATCATAAAAATAATAGTAATGATAATTATAATAATCATTGTGATAATTATATAATAACAATTATATTGATTAATAATAAAAATAATGGCAATAATAATGATTAATAATAATAATAATAATAATAGTAATAATCATTCTTGCCTAACAACATTCCAGAATAATTCTACATATAGGCACTAAATCTTTATAAACCTTAGCTCTTATCAAGTCTTAAGGAAGACTTTTAAGACTTCCACTGAGAAGTCTGATAAGATATTAAGACTTGAAAGACTGA